GATATCGCAATCTTGATTTCATAGATGTAGCTAGTGATAATCTAAAACAAAAGGAAACCAAATCGACTACGGCATTTCAGAGAAATAGAGATGGATAGATAGTTAATGAGAGAATGAGAGAGAGATTATTGACCAAAATAAAATAGAAACCCTGATGAGGAAAAAAAAGTGTAAAGAAACAAAGAAATGAAAACTATGAAAAGAATTTCCGAAAAAGGAACAGAAGAAAAAGCAGATTAGAGCCAAAAATACACATTTATAATCAGAGAGAGAGGGGCGGGGGGATGGTGCATTTTACTGTATCCGCATCCTATCACAGTGGAGAGGGGAAAAATAGCAGGTCATCCTTTTTTAATATACAAAAACCGATATAAAGAAAAAGGCCACATTTTTAGATGATGATACAGAATAACAGAGAGATAGAAAGAGAGAAAGGAGGAAAATAGCAGATCCTCCTTTATTGATATACAACAACAAATACAAAGAAAAAAGCCCATTTTTTTAGATCATAATAGAGAGTAATAAAGAGAGAGAGGAAGAAGCAGACGATCGTACACCAGTACACCACAATACAAACTACGTAGGGAAGAGAGAGAGAGAGAGAGGAAGTAAAAAATGGCTTCCAAATAATACCATGATCCACAATTACAGAGAGAGAGAGAGTAGGAGTCATCAAATAATATTATGGAGACCACTTAAAAGAGGGAAACATAAGTTAACGGAAACAAGCATTCCATACTGCTCCATCATCATGACACACAACCACCAAAAGAGAGATATCAAAAGAGGCATTTTTTAGAGAGAGAAAGAGGCAGAGAGAGAGGTAGATATAAACAGATAGAGAGAGAGAGAGAGATGAATAGATAAAGAGATAGAGAGAGAGAGAGAGAGGTGTTACCTGAACCAGAAGCTTGATCTTTGGTGGAATCCATGGCTTCTGCTGTGTTAATGAGAGAAAATTTTAGAGAGAGAATGAAGAATGGAGAATGAATAGAGAGAGAAGCAGTAAACAAAGGAGTTATAAATAGAAAGAAATCGCAGGTTTTAAGTCATAAAATAAACAGAAGTGAGCGGGAAATGCTTTTTTTCAAAATAAAGTCACAAAAGTATTACAAAAAAGAAAATAGAAAAAAAATTAATGAAATGAACGGCAAAGATTAACGGTCACAAAGCGAGGGTTCAACGTCTCCCGCGGCTGAGGCCCCACATCTGAAACCCTAAATCGTTTTCAAATTTCAAAACGGTCATTATGGGCCTACTAATACTAATCTTTGGGGTTAATTTCTTATATTTGAGGTTATGATACATTTAGGAAAAAATTTACAAGTTATCATAAATTTATAAAAAATTATGCTATGTCCATACTAAATATTTGGCCTATTTTTTGTATTTTACATTTGTATACCTTTATTTATTATTTTTGCCTTTTTTTAGACCATTACATACGGACAATATTTCAAACTTTTATTACCAATGAGTACATTTTCTCTCAGTAAATTACCATGACCATCCCCCTCTCCCCTTCAAGAGCCTTTTTCTTTACTTTTTTTTTTTTCACGACGTACCTGTCCAGCAATTACAAGAGGGAAATACACATTTTCTTAAAATATTTTTCATAACTATTTACTCTTGTAGGAGAATACTATGTATTTATTACCTCGGCCAAAATACATGCTACAGATACCTTTAGATCTTAAATTCTGGGCATATAAACTATACTACCGAAAGAATAATTTCAATAAAAATTATTCATAAATAAAATCTATGTACTAGAAAAAAATAATATCGGGAGATTGAATATATTTCAGAATGGCAAAATCTAAAATATTTTAAAAATAATCATCTCGTAATTGCTACATGATTCAAAAAAATTTAGAGTGAAAAAAGCAATGTAGCTAGGTGTTTTGACCGAGGAAGTAGATGCACAGTGTGTTCAGCGGGAGCACACTAGATGCAATGAATTAAAAACCATTTGAAAACATGTGTATTTCCCTCCTCTCCGGTGTATAATTGCCGGCAGTCGTCGGGAGAAAAAAAGGGCCTACCCCCACCAAGCCTGTCTTGGCTTGGCCCATGCCTTAAATTTTTAAGGCCCAGCAGCGCCACCCAACCCATTGCCACCCTTAGAACTTTGAAGTCGAGACTCTCAAGACTTTGACTTCAGATCTTTGAAATCTAAAGTCGAGAATGATATTGGCATTTGATACATTCAAAGTTTGGAATCAAAGCTTCTATGCCCTGACTTTGGGATCTAAAGTCATGCCTAACTTGATTTTGGACCTTAGCCATTTCGGATTTTCAAGATCCGTATGGACTTTCAAGATCCAGAGTAGGGACATTTTTTAGAATGTAAGATATAAAACATGGGGGGCATTTCCACAATAACAAGTTTTTGGGTGGGGGGGGGGGGGGGGGGGGTTGGGGGGGGACAGTGGAGCGTTAAATTCCGTCATAAATTTATAAGGTTATGACCTAAATTCTAATCCCTTTTGGG